AATTCCAACTATTTATTTCTTTGTTTTTTAATTTATTTTATTGGATGTTTTATTTACATTTCATATGTTGTCCCCTTACCCCATCCCCCACCCACCCAGGAACCCCCAATCCCCTCACCCCTCCTCCTTCTCCTCTGTGGATGTAACCTCTATCTACCAACCAACTCCCACCTCCCCACCCTCAGAATTCCCACCCCCTGGGGCGTCCAGCCTTCATGAGGTCAAGATTCTCTTCTTCCACCTATGCCCAGCAGGGTCCTCCACTCTTACATATTCAGCTAAAGCCCTGGATCCCTCCCTAAGTGCTCCCAGGCTGGTGGTTTAGAACCTGGGAGCTATGGTTGATTTGTATTGTTGCTCTCCTCATGGTGCCGCAAATCCTTTCAGCTCCTTCAGTCTTCACTCTAACTCCTCCATTGAGAACCCCATTATCAGTTCAATGGCTAGTTGTGAGTATCTGCCTCTGAATATGTCAGACTCTTGAATACCTCTGAGGAAACATCCATATCAGGCTCTTATCAGCATGTACTTCCTGACTTCCACATCAGCATCTACCTTTGGTGACTGCACATGGGATGGATACTCAGGTGGAGTGGTCTTCAGATGGCCCCTCCTTCAGTTTCTGTCCCTCACTTTGTCTCCATATTTGCTCCTTTGAGTATTTTGTTGCTCCTTCTAAGAAGGACTGAATCACACCCACTTGGTCTTCCTTCTTTATTAGCTTCATGTGGCCTGTGAGTTGCATCTTGGGCATTTCAAGGTTCTGGGCTAATATCTAATAATCAGTGAGTGAATACCATGTGTGTTCTTTTGTGATTGGCTTACCTCACTCAGAATGATAGTTTCTAGTTCCATCCATTTACCTAGGAACCTCTCGAATTCATTGTTTTTAATAGCTGAGTAATACTCCATTTTGTAAATACACCACATTTTTTGAATCCATTCCTCAGTTGAAGTACATCTGGGTTCGTTCCAGCTCCTGGCTATTGTAAATAAGGCTGCTATGAACATAGTTGAGCATATGTCCTTGTTATATGTTCGAGCATCTTCTGGGTATATGCCTAAGAGTGGTATAGCTGGATCCTCAGGTAATGCTATGTCCAGTTTTCTGAAGAACCGACACACTGATTTCCAAAGTGGTTGCACCATCTTGCAGTCCCACCAACAATGGTTCCTCTTTCTCCACACCCTCGCCCCCATCTACTATCACCTGAGTTTTTAATCTTAGCCATTCTGACTGGTGTGAGATGGAATCTCAGGGTTGTTTTGATTTGCATTTCCCTGATGACTAAGGATACTGAATATTTCTTTAGGTGCTTCTCAGCCATTTGAGTTTCTTCCATTGAAAATTCTTTGTTAAGCTATATACCCCATTTTTTAATAGGGTAATTTGGATGTCTGGAGTCTAATTTCTTGAGTTCTTTGTATACATTGGATATTAGCCCAATTTTCCCAATTTGTTGGTTGTCGTTTTGTCCTATTGACAGTGTCCTTTTCCTTACAGAAACTTTGCAATTTTATGAAGTCCCATTTGTCAATTTTTGATCTAAAAGTACAGCATTTTCAACAAATGGTGCTGGTTCAACTGGAGGACAACATGTAGAAGAATAAAAATTGATCCATTCTTATCCCCTTGTACAAAGCTCAAGTCTAAGTGGATAAAGGACCTCCACATAAAACCAGATACACTGAAACCAATAGAAGAGAAGGTGAGGAAGAGCCTCGAATACTTGGGCACAGGGGAAAAGTTCCTGAACAGAACACCAATGGCATATGCTCTAAGATCAAGAACTATTTACTTCTTAAAGTCACCATATCTTTAAAGAAATTCCATCTTTTAAAAATTTAAGAGATAAGCCACCCAGTGGTGACACAATACTTTAATTCTAGCAATTATAAGCAGAAGCAGGCAGATCTCTGACTTTGAGGACAGCCTGTCATAGAGTTTGAGGACAGCTACAATGTCATAGTAAAACTTTGTCTCAAAAAATGATTGTTTAAATACCTGCATACATTTTGCTTATAATATACTAACATATTGCCTTATAGTGTAATTTTCTTCACTTAATCACACTTTTGGGAGCTCAGAGGTTAGTGCACTTATCTAACATGCATGGAGCCTTGGTGCTGCATAAAGCTAGATGTGATACTGGAATCTCAGTACTTTGGAAGTTGAAGCAGGACGATCAAATCACAAGGTCCTTTTTAGCTACATAGAGTTAGAACACATCCTGAAATACCATAAGACCTTGCCTCAAAGGAAAAAAATTAAAAAGCCACCTTTCTGTTCTGATATCACTCCTGAAAATATGGTGATGTTTCTAAGAGGTGTGAAACTTTCTGCAAGAAATGTAAACACTAGCCTCACAGTAACATAGTACATGAATCGCAAGGACACTCTGTCTGCCCATGGTAACTGACCTTCTGACAGGCAACAGTGAGGGTATGGTAGCAGCCTAAGACTACTTTTGTGAAGACTTAGCTATACCACTCCTGGTCATATAGACAGAAGATGCTATAACAAGGGTACATGCTCCACTATGTTCATAGCAACCTTATTTATAATTGCCAGAATCTGGAAAGAACCCAGATGTCCTTCAACGGAGGAATGGATACAGAAAATATGATACACTTACACAATGGAGTACTACACAGCTATTAAAAACAGTGAATTCATGAAATTCTTAGGCAAAGGGATGGAACTAGAAAATATAATCCTGAGTGAGGTAACCCAATCACAAAAGAACACACATAGCAAGCACTCACTGATAAGTGGATATTAGCCCTAAAGCTCGCAAAACCCAAGATACAACTCACAGACCACATGAAGCTCATGAAGAAGGAAGGGCACATTGTGGGTGCTTCATTCCTTCTTAGAAGGAGTAACAAAATACTCATGTGACAAGTGATCAGTGTGGGCCAGAACCTGAAGGAGGGGCGATCTGGAGACTGCTTCACCTGGGGATCCATCCTATGTGCAGGCACCAAAGGCAAACCCTAATGTGGATGCCAGGAAGTGCATGCTGACAGGAGCCTGATATAGCTTCATCTTTTTAGAGATCTGCCAGAGCCTGACATATTCATAGGAAGAGCTCACACCTAATGATTGAACTGATCATGGGTTCCCAATGGAGAAGTTAGAAGACAGAAGGAGCTGAAGGAGTTTCCAGACCCATGTGGAGAGCAAAGATACTGACTAAACAGAGCTCCCAGGGTCTAAACCACCAGCCTGGAAGCACATGGCTCCAGCTGTATAGGTAGGGAAGGATGGCCTTTCGAAGATAGGTTGGAAATGATGTCCTTGGTCCCATGAAGGCTGGATGCCCCAGTGTGAGGGAGTTTGATGGTGGGGAAGTGGGAGAGGATGTGGGGGGCACACCCTCATCTAAGCAGGAGGAGGGAGGATGGGATAGGGGGTTTCTGGGTGGGGATAACATCTGAAATGTAAATAAAATATCCAATAAAAAAGAATACTTTTGCATTTTGTAAGTATAGAGAATACTGAATAAATGCTATGTCACATTCAAAAAAAGAAAAGGCTAAAACTGCAGAGAAGATTGTGTTAAAGCATGAGTGTGTCACCCACAACAGAGCAAAGAGAATACTGGGAAGCACAATCAGAGATAGAGACAAGTGATCAGTTCTAAGCTGATTGTGCTATAAAGGCAGTAAAAAGAAGAGCACTAACTTACAAGAAGAAGAGAAGAAGGAGGAACAGGAGAATGTGGTAGTGAAGAAGGAAATAATAAGGAAAGAAAAAGACAAAACATGGTAAAAGGAAGCTGGAGACATGGCTCAGTAGTTTAGTGCACTTGTTACTCTTCTAGAAGACCCAGGTTTGGCTCCCAGTACCCACATTCTGGCTCACAACTGTTTGCAACTCCAGTTCTAGAGGAAGATCTCAAATCTTACCTTAAAAACCTTACGTTGGATCTTATAAAGTTAAGGACAACTCTTTAATGCAGTTTTTGTTTGTTTTGTTTTGTTTGTTTGTTTGTTATGCTTGTCCTTGGTTTGATAAAGGACCAGAAATATCTAATAGTTTAAATGACCTTTACATTATCTCAGTAGCCATAGGCTCCCCCAATTTCACTACCAGGTGACTAATAGCACAAGTGACATCCATGTTATTGATATGACTGAGAATATGCCAGAACCTTCCTTCAGATCATAAAATAGTACAGGTAACCCATCTCTAAAACTCATGTTCTTGGAAGAAATGACATGTATCCTAGGTTGAGTTTCTATGTAATTACACTTCTTTGTGTACTAGAGATTATATTATACCAGGAAACCTTTTTTCCAAATTATGCAATGTCTAAGTTGTATGGGAATACACTACCTGACACCAGAGTTCCCAAGTCTGATCCAGATTAATGAACTCACTTTAAACTGGGTTTTATTTTTCACCACTTTACAGTTTGCTTAACCGCCTGTAGTCTGGCAGAATTCCCCTTACTCCGAGGATAGAAGAGTGGTGAAAAAATCCTTGAACTGGAGTTACTAAAAGCAAGGAATGATGCAGGTGTTGGGACTAAATCCCATATCCCGGGAAGAACAACCAGTATTCTTAATCATCTCCCCATACACCTTTCTCGGGTATAAATCCTATACATAGAAAAAATATTTTTGCCCAAAAATTTCCTTGGAGAGTGTGTGTGTGTGTGTGTGTGTGTATGTGTGTGTGTGTGTTGACAACCCTCCTGCAGAATAAATCCTAGCTGTTCCCAGAACTCTGCTACTCTGGAACAGTTTTTTGTTTGTTGTTTATTTTGTTTTGTTTTCTGAGACATGAGAAGTATTCCCTTGCTTTGAGGAGAGTAGTCCTGGGGAAAAGGACAGATTTGGGACATCAAATGTTTCTCTGATCCCTGTATAAGAACATCACACTGATATTTAAGGCCTGACAAAGAGAAAAACTCTCAGCAGCTGAGCATCTAGAGTCATCGTAAGGAGCAGTTGGGGCAGCCTGTGCTCTCACTTCTGCTTCCCTGGATGGTTTATGTCAAGGCTTCAATCACTGTGGGAGGATTACTATAACCTTGTTGACAGAAATAATCTGCGACATCTTCAGGCTGCAGTCTATTGATCTTGAGAGAATACTGTGTGTCAGATCCACTGCCAGTGAACCTCGATGGAACACCATCTTCCAAGTTGGTTGCACCATAAATCAGGAGCTGAGGAGATTTCCCCTGTTTCTGCTGATACCAGTTTAGATAATCGTAAATATTCTCACTTGCTTGACATGTGATGGTGACACTTTCTCCCACAGATGCAGCCAGGGAGGCTGGAGACTGAGTCATCTGGATGTCACATCTGGCACCTAAGATTGAAAAATTGAAAACAAACCCCACATGATTAATTCTGTTGCAAAGAGATTTTCACTGAGACCAAGCAGCACTGACTACAGAAATCTGAATAAATTTCCAATGCTGTCTTCCTTACCTGTATGCCATAGCAGCAGCAAACCCAGGAGCTGAGTGGGCACACTCATGTCTGTGTGTGATCTGTGTGAGGCTGACTCCAGCACAGCATGTGACCAGACTATGAAGAAGTCTTCATGTCTCTGGGCTGTGATTTGGGTACATGTAAATCAGCAAAGGGTAGGCACAGCTGCAGGACTTACCAGGTCAGTAACTCATTACAGTCCTATGATTCTCTTATGTCTCCAATCAGAGCTCAGTACAGGTTTATTTGTAGGGAATGTGCTTCTCTTTGAACAATAAACAACAGCAACAGTCTATGAGTTGTACATTATTTTCATATCACATTCCATGTAGAATTTACTTGCTATGTTTTCCTCCATGGAAATGTGTATCAGATACGGTACAATTTTACACACTACACAAATGGTTCCATTTCCTTTCAAAGTTAGGTGTACATGTTATTACAGTCATGGAGCTTCTGATGTTTTTTCCAATCTGTTTGTGAGACTAAATTATAATTATAACATTTTCACCTTTCCTCTCTTTCCAGTTTCCCCCAAATAATACACATCTCTGTTCTCCTTCAAATTCACAGCTTCTTTTCCCATTAATTGTTTTTGTATGCACTTATGTATTTCTACACACACACACACACTCACAGAGAGAGAGTTTCCTAAATCTAAATTGTTGAGTCTTGTATTGTTATTGTCATACAATAATATTATATGTATTATATGTATGTTTTCATGACTGATCTTTTCATTGTGGACATTCAATTGGTGTGGTCTTCCCTAGGAAGGAAGATCTCTTCTGCTGCCAGCTTTTCCCAATCCTTTATAGCATGTTTATAGATATAAAGTCTCATGGGTTTTTGCCCATCCTGTTTGTCATGCTCATTGGTGTCTTCCTTATTCAACTACTATTGGAATAACAATTTTGTTGAGACTTGTAGGCATAGCTTCTCTTGTTACTATGAGACACAAGCTCACAGAAAACTCTCTGATCCTCTGTCTCTATCAATCTTTCCACTTCATATTCCTAAATGTTCCCCAGCCTTGCGTATGGGAACCTTGTGTAGATGTATCCATTTTTACTGAGCTCCAAAACTAGCCTTGCACCATCTTGCTTACAATAATACACAGAAGAGTAATAGAATAATACCAGAAGTCATGGCTTGTAAATATATGATCTCATATAAATAACCCATCTTTTCAAGTAAACAGTTTCATTTTACTTTTTTGGTGACAGCTCAGCTAATCAAGAACTACTTCGTTCAGAGCCAGACAAAGTCATGTGTTTTCTTCCCTTCCTTCTATACATAGGAGCTCTCTTCAAAATTCATCTGGAATTATAACTATATCCAATGTGCCTGTGAGACTTCAGGTCATTGTACCTGACTTTTTCCTCATCTTAATGTAAGATATGAGTATTCTCTCCAGAAATAATTATTCCTGTTCTTAAATGTACAATGTATCTCAAACTTGCAAATGCTATGAGTACCATATAATAGTGTCTGGGTTTGGTATTAGCAGATGAGATGGATCCCTAGGTACAGCAGTCTTTGAATAGCCTTTCCTTCAGTCTCTGCTCCACCATCTGTCCCTGTATTTCCTTTTAACAGGAGGAATTATGGATTAATATTTTTGAGGTGGATGGATGGCCCCATTCTTCAATTGGGGCCCATGCCTATCCAGTGGATATGGTCTCTATAGGTTCTATCTTCCTTTTGCTAGGTATTTTGGCTAGTGTCCTCCCTGTTGGGTCCTGGGAACTTCTTGGGTCCCTGGCATCTGGGACGTTCTAGTGGCTACCCCCAGTTCCTTCTCTCCCACTGCTACACACCTCCTTTCAAATTGCTGACCCTCTGTTCTTCTCCCCCATCCCCTCTCATGTCTGAACTTCTGCCTCTTTTTATCTCCCCCTCCTTTGTCCCTCCCAGCCCCCCCCCCTCTACTTCCCAGAGATTATTCTCTTCTCCTTACTGAGTAGGACTGATCTTTTAGATGATTACTTCCTGGCTTCAGTTTGCAAAAGTTTTATTGAGAATTTTGCCATCTCTCTTCATAAGTGAAATTGTAGTTTTCTTTGTCTGGTCTTTATATAGCTTAAGAATAAGGGTAACTATGCCCTCATAAAATTAATTAGGAAATGTTCCTTCTGTTTCTAATTTGTGGAATAATTTGAGGAGTACTGACATTAACTTCTCCTTGAAAGTCTGATAAAATTCTTCACTTCACCTGGTTTTGAATTTTTCTGGGAGATGGGGTAATAGCTTGAAAGAATTTTAATTATTGCTTCTATTTCATTGATGGCTATGTGTTTTGTTAAATTGCTTATCTTCAATGTGAATATTCTTCATTGTGTCCTATAGGTTTGAGTATGTTGTGTACTCATTTTTATTAATTCTAGAAAGTCTTTAATTTCTATAAATTGAGATTTACTTAATACTAAATTTTCAATTTCTATGAGTTTGTAAAATTTTTGTTGTGGGTTGATGATATTCAGTTCTAATCAGTGGTAGTCAGATTTGCCTGGAGTTAATTTCAATTTTCTTGTATATGTTAGGATTTCCTTTGTGTCCAAGTATGTCATCAATTTTAGAGAAGGCTCAATGAGAAGTCAAAGGAACATATATTTGTGTATGTGTGTGTTTGGGTGAAAAGTTTTGTAAATATCTGTTAGGTTCATTTGCTTTAGAACATCTCTTAACTCCAGTATTTCTGTTTCATTTCTGTTTTATGGTTTTTGTCTTGTGCTTCTGCTATGTTGCAATACTAAAGGCCCCTTGTGGGAGAATTGCTGAGATCTAGTGAAGACATGTAGTCCACACTATTAGTATTTGTGTTTTTACACTAAAGCCTAGATATCTGGAATTGGAAAAGTTGTAAATCTAAGTGCTGATATTTGGTCTTGTCTTTTGAGTATATACTTTATTCCTTAGTTTCAGTTTTTTCTTTCTTGTTCTAAATAGCATGTAGTACCTGTGTATTTCCTGATCTGACAGCCTTTTGAGTTTCTGATTGATGTGGCCACTGGGCCTTCCCTAAAAAATATCTCCAAGGTATTTGGAGCTAACAGTAGTGTAAGTTGTATAGGAAGGTGGAGAGAAAGGTGTCCAGGGGCAGGTGGAATCAAGTGTATTCCACGAGAATCTACATAAAGGCCTGGGAATGGGGCAAAGCATGAGGAAGGCCCAAAACAGGTAGGGGAATAAAATAGGAGATTCTATATTTTGGAAAGAAAGAAGAGTGAAGATTTTCAGTTAGCCTACCTGCATCACTGACCTGATTGCTTCACTGTCAGGCTTTGCTAGAAGGTTTCCATAAAACAACTGTTAGTACTGGGGGCTGGAATATAAAAATGAATGGGATAGGGTGGTTATAAGAAAAGATCTGCATGAACCTCTGGTGATGGAGGCAGAGAAAGAGGGAAGACCTCAGCTGGTGGCTACAAAGATATGGGGATAAGACTGAGGGACTGGACTTGGAGGAGAAGAGAGAAAGGTTAAGATCTGCAATTAAGTTACCTGCTTCCCTGTCCTCCCATGGGTATACTTCCCATATGAGACAGTCACAGCATTCTTGGCCATGTACTGAAAGAACTCTGTGCATTATCACTGAGATATTTGCACATCTATGCTTATTGGTAGCCCATTCATGAGAGTTAAAAAGTAGAACCAGCACAGATGTCCATAAATAAGAGTTAATACAGAAAATAGAGTATATACACACCACAATAATTTATTAAAATGTGTAGAAAAAATAAAATTGTGGAGTTTCTCGGAAAGTGGATAGATGCGGAAACTATCATATAAAATGAGGTTACCCAAAATAAGACAAAAATAAAGTTTACTATCATATACAGATACTCTACTATAAAGTATATATGCAGACATTCACACACACACACACACACACACACACACACACACACAGAAATTATGCATACAATACATCTTTTTATAAAAGGTATATGTTTTTTAAATGTTAATCATAAGAACCTGAGCCTTTTATTTTCAGGAAATTTTTCAGGTTTTAATTATAATGTAATTATTGTTTCTTTGATAATTTCATTCACTGTATTTCACCCCTATTCAATCCCCTCTACCAACAACTTTCAAATACACACATCTTTAACCTACTCTCAATGCATAAAATGAAACCACTCATTTTTTCAATTATTAACTAACCTTAACTGTCTTTTTATGTACAATATTTGATTCAAATTCTGTTACTAGGAGACATTTATTCTTCAGTTAAAACCCTGCATTATTCCTAGACCTGGAAGAATCTGTTTTAGGAGTTTTTCTTATTCCAGCTATACACTATACCCATGGATTGCAACATTCTTGCTTTTACCACTCACTACTCAGAAATCTGAGTCCATTTTCCTTATAGAAACGGTGTAAATGAGGAGCCTTTCAAGCAGTTTTATCAGGTTTTTCCTACCCAGGTCAGGCTAGCTCTGATTCTAAGTTGTTTCACACAGAGAGGGTGACTGTCAGGTAAACCAATAAAGCTACTGTCAGGTCTGTAAACTGGTGCTAAGGTAGAGTAAAGAGAGTTCAGCTACAGGAGAGCTTTGCAGGTTTCATTACCTCAAATATCTTTATAAACTGAAGGCTTCTAACATGCCCTCAGTCAGAGAAAAACTCTCAGTCAGTTGGGGACACCACAAGGAGCAGCTGGACCAACTGAACCTCACATTTCTGCTTTATGTTCTGATGTGTATCTATCAGATACAGTTGTGGGTGCTAAGCTATTTCTTTGTTGACAGTAGTAAACTAAAGCATCTTCAGGCTGTAGGCTGCTGATGACAAAGTTGAAATTTATCCCTGATCCACTGCCTCTAAAACAAGAAGGGACCTAGAAATGCTCAGGGAAACATACATGGTGTGGACACTTATAATTCATGAAAAATTAGTAGAAAGGGGGGAAATACATTATCTGCTTAATTTTTCAGGTCTAAACAAAAGAAATTCCTAATGATTCAGTTTTTCCTTATATAGAATGAAAAGTGGTATTCACTTATCACCATATGCTTTTTTGCTTTGACCAATAACATTAGCTGAAATCCAGATGAATGCCCCAATGATCAGTGACAAGGACAACATCTTCCTATTTTACTTCCTCTTGTGTATACTGAGCATGCCACAGCAAAGAAAGAGGCAAGAACACCAGATAAAAGAAATATCTGTGCAAATTATGCTGACTTCATATTACTGTAAGTACTAAGATTGTCAGAACAGACTACTTGGCTCTTATCTTCCTATCCTATAGCTCCCTCACCTGGCCACTTGATGTAGTGTTTGTAGTTGACAGAAAGCTGTTTGTTTCACCACATACAGGATTAGGTAGTGATATATAATATTTAATTCAGTTCTTTGTATACCTAGAGTCATCTGGAAAGTATAGCACCTCAGATCCTTTGTCCTGGTTCATGCTTGTGTTGTTTCCCTTGGTGTTTTTCAAACTATAGGCTAAATTGATTGATATTTTTATCATCTGGATATTTTATAGACCCTCAAACTTTTTAACACTATAATGCTAAGTAGAATTAATGAAGAAGAGATGCAAAGATTTGAGGTCCTAGTAAGACATTTTTCTTCCAGAAGGGTCAAATGTAAACTTTAAATAGTTGATAGGCCTAAACATCAACACATAGAAGTTTGAATATGTAAAATGTTAGTTTACCCCATTACAAATAATAAAAGAAGTCTTATACCTATATATGTTGTATTTCCTACAACACAGTGTGAATTCAAAGTATTGGACAGGCACTCCAAATGCAGTACAGAACAGCAATTAATTTATTACACTATCTAAAGGAATAGTATTCTGAGAAATTTAAATCAGGAGAGGGCATTTTAGCAGGTTTCTCTTGTAAAGGCAATGTCCTTTCAATAGAGTCCTATAACCAAGATAGAGTATCTTTGTTTAATTGTGACAGTGTATGGGCCTGGTAAAAGTCCTTATTAACGACTTACAATGTCAAGCATTAAGATTGTGGTTCAACACTCTAATCATCACAAAATACAAATTGCCCTCACTATGTAATCATCACAAAATAGAAATTGCTCTTTGCTTCCACACTATGAGGTCATGGGAGACATGAGGAATTTTACTTTAGTAAGTGCTTGAATTGACAAAACTTGCGATGCTAGACTTATCAAGCTTTATTGTTTAGTTGTACTCAGCAGTGGTTATTCTTAAGATCAAAGTGTTAGTTTTAGTATTAGACCTTATAAACTTTAATTTGCTTCTTATTTTGCATGGGCAGATGTATACTTGAGTGTAATAACAAAGTTTGTAATCACTTTGATATCTTTGTATTCTGTCATAAATGATTAATACTAAGGAAATGAAGTTTTTCAGCAAGTTCTTGTTCAGAGATGGACTTATTGGTACTGTCTAAGCAAACATTGTTCTCTGGTACCTGCCAAAGCCAATACTACACCATAGCAACCCTCGTGGTAGCCTATGAAGTAAATTGTTGAGTTAGTAAATTTTTTGTTTGTTTTGTTTGTTTGTTGTTTTTTAAATTTATTTTTTAAAATCAAATCGTGATTTTTACTTACTCACACAGAGGTTATAAATACAAAAAGGCAGGATGTGGGGAAGAGGATGACACCAGATCATGAGTGTACAGGAGGAGTAAAGATATCATTCAGAACAGGGCATCGACTGGGTGAAGGTTCAGGGAACAGGTCACTATGACTCTGCCTATGATTCACTTGTCCTTATCTAAGTTGGTATTATCCTCCAAGGCTACCTATTTACAAGGTCTATGACTACTCAGGCTGGAAATTTCCACAAAAGCTGCCTGTTTACATTAGCTTATAGCCATCTGTTTCAATGTTTTTCCACAGAGACCCAAGACTTGGTGTTAGTATACCTATATGACAGGACTATTGCTGATTTTAGGCCTATGGCTGATTTTAGGCCTTCAGTGTATACGCAGGGCTGCTCCTGACATCTCCTCCCTTCTCTAAGTATAGAAAGATTGTGGTGATTCTAAGCTTGCAAATGTGGAGATAGAGGCCTGATTTCCAATAATTGAAGGGGACTTTGTAATGGTTCTGGTCCCCCTGTCATTGTCCAGCGAGTCATGAGGGCCATACCCATCCCAATATCGTTTTACTGGAGAGAGGATACTTTTGAAATCAACCCCTATGTAGTCAGGCTTGTCTCTCAGGGAACCCAGAGAGATATTTTTGACTTTTATTTATATTCTCTTGCAGTACTTAGCCTCTTCGAAATGGACAATAATCATCAGTTTCATGAGAACGAAGATGTACCTGTAAGGTTCCTTGAGCCATCTAAGCTGGACATAAATAGCAAGTCTAGGTATTTAGATTTAATTAAGTGAAATTACATAACCAATATATGTCAAAAGCACACAAATTAAGAGAGAAATTTCTCTAAGACAGTGTCTGATTGAAAAGGGTCTTGCTAGTACCAAGTCAAGGATAATGAAATGGTTCTGGGGAAGACCAGTGCATAGGTGATGACAAATTGTTTATTTCAGAGAGATCAAACAGTAATCGTAGCATTTTATTTCCTGAAATATTTCTGTTATTGACAAATGTGTATAAAGTTTCATTATTAAGTAAAGCAAACTATGTAATTTCAAAAAGACACACGCTAGAGTCATTTTTTTAAAACAATAATAAGGACGTTAAATTTACATTTTGGAATGGCAGCTTAAGTGTAAAGTATTCCAGAATCTACTAACACAGACATATTGGCAATTTTAAATTTTTATGTGTATGAATGTTTTGTCTGTATATACCTTTGTTCACCATGGGAGGTTGGCAGACAGCAATAGATCCTCTAGAACTGGAGTTACACAAGGTCTTCCATAAAGCTGATAACTTTCTAACACAGGTTCTCTGGCAAAAATAAGTGCTTTTAAACTGTGAAGCATCTCTCCAGTTCATGTCCCATTTTGTGTTTTCACTTTGTTTTTTGTTTATTTTTTTTAATTACATAATCTTTCTGTACAGAATTCCTCCACCCCAAGTGTGTAAATTCATGCTGCTTTAGAGTAGAAAAATACACAAATGAATCTTTACAATATGAAATGGCTTTTCCTAAATTAAAAACAATGAGATTTTGTCTGTCTATGTAAATAAATGTTGAGAGAGCAGCAGAATAAATTAGTTGATAGTATGGAATAAAACTATTGAAGCTGAGAAATGGATTCACAGCAGTGACTGTAGCAATGTGTTTATATTAAATACATGTGTTTACTTCATGTTCAGTCATATATCAATGTAGTGGCTTTTTATTTTTGGAAAATATTTTAATGTAAAATAAAAGTAAATATGGCATAAAAATCC